TAATTTCGTTTCCAGTCGATATATCGGTATAAAAGGGGCCCTGTAACAGGGCATACTCTGTTTGCGTTGCGACTGCCATTGTTCTGTGTTCAACACAGTGTGTTGTCATTTGTTGCTGTGTGATAGAAAACGCATTGTTCTCTATAGGCGAGACTGAACGGTTTAGGTAAGTTGGCTTTATCATTTGTTTGCAACCATACAGTTATAATATAATTAATTAATTCTCCCAATATCGCCATGATGGCGCTATTAGTGGTTATCGAATTTTGTTGATTTAAATGTAAGCGTTGAGTGAGAAGTAATATTAATCAATGCTGTTAGACTTAAAGAAAAGTCTTTTAATCAATTTGATTTTTCAGTTAATACACCAGTGAACATGGGAGACAAATTTTGCGCCGAGCGACAGGCAAGTTATATAAGTTTTATATACTTAATTACTTAGATAACTTAAATTATTAATGTTTGTTTTAGAAGCCAGTATGAAATTATTTCGTCTGACTGAAAGTGATTTCGATAAAGAGAGCAAGGAGTTGTGCCAAACCGCCAAGCAACGCCCATAACGTTTTTTGGCCACATTTGGACATGAGAATGAGGCCGAAAATTAATTAGGCGGTATGTTTTATTTTTATTATTTTTACCGGACTAATTATGTTTTATTTTTATAATTTATTTTAATAAAAAAAATATATTTCCAAAGTGGTAGTTTTATTTAAAAAAACGTAACTGATACGTACTTAAGTGGAAACAAAACCTATACGTCCATATTAAAATGGCATTTTTACGTCCTTTTAAAAACGTAATTTTTACGTCTCCTTATCCACGTAACGGTTAGGGCTAATTCACGGCCCAGGATCCGGACATAGGCACATCACAGCGACGTTTATGTGACGTTTATTTTACAAGATTCTTATACGTCACACTACAACCTTTGACGTTAATTTTACATATATTTTACGTTTTTTTGCTCAGTGGGCCCCCAAATCGGTTCCAAATCATAAAAAAAAATTCCTGCAAAATTTTAGGTCAATCGGTCAAAGGGAACACGTGCCCCACAGGGGTTTTTTAATAAATAATTGAGAAAATTCGGAAGGCTGATATAACTCCGAAACGGTCCATCGTAGGAAAAAAAAGTGTATATAAATTTTATGTGTTTTTTTAGATAAACAACTTTCGTAATAACAGTACTGCGTTAAAAAAAATTATTCGGGGTCAAAACGCGATAAAACGCTTTTTTGTGTACTTTAGCGCTACCTACTTTTTGAATTTTCTGTCCTAGAGCATCGACCCAATGACATAAATTGTAGGGGACAATTCACCCTACATTTTTTGTTGACAAAATTTTTGTTTTAAACTAACCGATTTTGAAAAAAATTAAATCCAAAACTTTTTGAGTTTTCACCAAAAACACGTTGTGCTCCGAAACTCCGAAACGGTTTATCGTAGGAAAAAAAAGTTAAAATATATTTTGTAGTTTTTTTCAAGCTAATCAACTTTCCTAATGCCTTTGTCACAATAGTGTTAATGTTAATGGTAATGTTAATAAAGCATAGACCAGTGCGTGTATCAACGTATTTACGTATACTTGGCAATAAAAAGTATAAAAATTTAACCTCATGCCAATCTTTAAAATGCTTTAAACAGCTATAAAGAAGGTAAAAATACATTTTTTGAGAGTTCTTTTAGGTTAGGAACATACAGTTTTATGTCGACTCTGAGGTAAGGCCATATTTATATTAGACAATGAGAAATACAAAAAACAAATGCAAAAATATGTATCAAAAATGAATTTAGGGGCTGTAAATTTCACAAAACTGCTTTTTAAGTTTTTTTTGGGGTTAGGGGCGAACCATTGTGTATTTAGCGGTAAAAAAACTATAGAATCACTGATAATAGATTAGTGCATATAATCAAATTCAATTTTTAATTTTATAACGCTGTTAGTTAATGTAAACTACCTAATACGGTTATTTTGAAGTGATGTATATTGCTTGCAGTCACTATATTGAGACCGCCATTTTGAAATTTTACAAAATACCACTCGGCATTTGAAAGTTAAGAGGATAAGCTAAAAATTTATCAGTTGCACGTTTCGAAAAACTTTAGTCAATTTTGCACAGGAGGGGGTGGCCGAGTTGACATGGAATGCCTCATCTTAAATCCCCTTAAAGACCCCAAGTGAATATTTTTTTCCAGAAGAAATCCCCAGACAAAAATATCCCCAAAAAATTACCCAAACAAAAATAATACCCTCATTTTTGGGGAAAATCCCCTCATCTGGCAACCCTGTAAAGCGTTGCTGTCATAAGTACTTTACCTGAGTATAAAATGTTTTGAATTGATAAAAACACCCAAATTAAATGAAATATGTTTATCTACTTTTCATGTTTTTTAATTATGAATATGAAGTTAGCAAAGCATCCATCAAGAAGCGATTAGGTGCATAATTTGCCGTTAATTTGTCGTTAATTAGTTGTGATAAAATTAATTTTGTCGTTCGAATATTTCATTGTTTTTATGGTGCTTTGCTAACTTCATATAAAGTTAGCAAGGCAAATTAATTTTGTCGTTCAAATATTTCTTTGTTTTTATGGGTGCTTTGCTAACTTCATATGAAGTTAGCAAGGCACCTTCATTAAATAGGTTATTAATTTTTTTTATAGTTAATATTTTGTCGTTAATTTGTCGCTAATTAGTTGTGAATAAATTGATTTTGTCGTTTAATAATTTTTTGTTTTTTTTTGGCTGCACCCCCTCATGAATAATTTTTTAATAGTAATCATGTTTATTTAAAAGGAACCAAGTGAAACTATTAATGTTTTAGAAAAGGTTATTTCACTTTGATTATTTCACATAATAGAATATTGATATTTCGTTGTTTGGGTATTCTCTCAACAGACGTAACTATTATTTTTAATTGAAATTCGAACGACAAAATCAAGCGCGCAAAACGCACGAATTATAAAACTGTTTTTATAAAAAAAATGTAGATCATTTATTATATAATATTAAATAAAAAAAAACGCGAGGAATATTTTACAAAGGTAGAGATAATTTTAATAATTGAAAGGTGTGGACGGGACAAAAAAATATTTATCTTTTCCCGTCCAAACGTGTCAATTATTAAAATTATCTCTACTTTTATAAAATATTTCTTGCGTTTTTTTTTTTAATTTAATGTGCCTATATCCTAATAAAAGAAGAATATATTTGAAAATTTTGATGCAAAAATAATATATAATAAATTACATACAATTTTTTTTATAAAAACAGTTTTGTGATTTGTCCGTATGCTTGAAATGGCCGTAAAGCCCTTTGTGCCTGAATAATTATCCATATTTTAAAAAGGTCAATTTCAATTAAAAACAATAGTTACATATGACTGATGAGAGAATTTCCAAACAACATAATATCAATATTCTATTATGTTAAATAATCAAATTGAAATAACCTTTTCTAAAAAATAAATAATGTCGCTTGGTAAATAAACATGGTTCCCATAAAAAATTATTTATGTAATAAGTGGAGCGGGTGCTTTGCAAATCAGCCGAAAAAAAAAACAAAAAATAATCAAACTACAAAATCAATTTATTCACAACTAATTAGCGACAAATTAACGGCAAAATAATGACCATTAAAAAAAATGTAATCACATATTTTAGGGGGGTGCCTTGCTAACTTTATATGAAGGTAGCAAAGCAGCCGAAAAACAAAAAATAATCAAACGACAAAATTAATTTATTCCCAACTAATTAGCGCCAAATTAACGGCAAAATATTAACTATTAAAAAAAATTATCACATATTTGATGGGGGTGCCTTGCTAACTTTATATGAAGTTGGCAAAGCACCCATAAAAACAAAGAAATATTCGAACGACCAAATTAATATATTCACAACTAGGTAATTAGCGGCAAAATATTAACTACCTATTCAAAAAAGATGTAATAACATATTTAAGGGGGTGCCTTGCTTACTTTATATGAAGTTAGCAAAGCACCCATAAAAACAAAGAAATATTCGAGCGACAAAATTAACGGTAAATTATGCACCTAATCGGTTCTTGATTGGCTTTGCTAACTTCATATTCATTATTTAATTCGTTATGATTTATTCAGTATTCTTGTGATTATGAACCATATAACTTTGTTTTGTTTTATATTTTATTTTTATTTGAACTGTGTAAGTCGACAGGGTTATTATGGTCCCTTTTCCCTGTGCTCTGACTCAACGGGCCACCTCTTATTCTTTGCTTAAATTAAATCAGGGGTTTTATGCTTAAATCAAATGCTTGTGTTTTATTAAACCTGACCAATTTTAAATCGGGTTACGAAAATAACTTACATTTTAAGAAAATTGATTTATGTTTAAACGTTTTTATAAAAAAAATACCTTTTATTTAACGGTTTGGCTCCCGTCCCTAGGCGGGACTTAACTTCGATTCCGACTGACGTCACACACTGTAAATCGGTTTTTATTTCCCGAGCGTTATAAAATTAATTTTAAGCTGGATCGCTCAGATGGTAGGGCGGTCGCTTGGCATACTAGAAGTCCGGGTTCGATACTAATAGAAGATGTCGAACTTTTTTATTTTATAAATTTGTTGTTCCTTTGTTAAAAAGTGTTGGGTTGGGTTGGGTAGGGTTGGGTTGGGTTGGTTTTTTGGTTTATTTTAGTTTTATCGTAACATAACAAATCTTAAAATTATGACGTCACTCGGGACTGAACTTAAGTCCCGCCTCGGGACGGGAGCGACAGCGTTTAGTTAAATGCAAAACAAATAATGATTTTACACTTTGAACTAAATTAATAATTTACTATTGAAAGTAACTAAGCTAAATTTATGAAATTTTAAATTTTTTAAATTTTAAAACATATAATTTTGTATTAACCGTGTAATCTTAACATCATTTTATTAGATAATATTTTTTTTACTTGTAAAAAACTACTTTCAGGTTTTAAAGCAGTTAAAAACTTAAAGCATAATATTAATTACTTTCTTACAGAATATGATAGCTAAAAACTCCTTAGTATCAATATATTTCAAAAGGGTCTCTCTATTTATTTCTTCTATACTTTCGTCATTTTTTTGATCCGTCATCCACTCCAAGACTTCTGTTTCATCGAGCAAATTGCCTGTGGAAATAATTTTTACCCATTTAAAACAAACGAACAGGATTTTGTGAAATATAAAAGTTTTGGAATGGCTTTTGACAAAACAGTAACAAACTTACCCTTAATATTTAGTTGTATTAAATTGGCTTTGCATAAGCAATACTTAATAATTTACCATTTATGTTTTTTATGCTATAAAAATTAATGCAAAAATTATAAACCAAAGGGTAAACAGTAATAAAAACAATTTATTGTATCTAAATATAGTACACGTGGTGTTATTTTCATGTAAGGTGGCAACTGCAGCGTATCTCTGAAAATGAATTAGTCAAAAATGACTATAGTTACTACAGTTATTAGTGGCTGCTTTTTAACTTATACCAAGGGATACCATGGTATCCCCAATGGTTAACAGCCAATTATATGTAAAAGTGTCCTCTGAATCCGAAAATTCCGTCAAAAATTATGAAAGTAGAGCAGTTTGTGAGATATAGTTAATTCCATATTATATGGACAATTTTACATTAAAATTAACTGCTAAATGTTCGGGATACAAATTGTTATTGACAAGAATTATTAGTGACTGCGTTTTCGCTATGAAAATTAGTCATTTTTGACTAATTCATTTTCAGAGAGTAGCTCTGCTTTAAGTTTAAATTATAACAGGACATCTCTGAACTGATTTAGTCAATTATGTATGCAAACACGTAGTATATTTTTAATTTTCAGGATGTTTTGTTATCATTTATATGCATTTTTTTGTACATAAGTAATATATATTAATTAATATTTACATATTTTAACTAACAGATGACAATTATAAATATAGTAAAATAAACAAAAAAATAATAACTAACAATAAAATAGTTAAATCCAAATGCCTTATCAGCAGCAGACTGGTAGTAATAGTAGACTAGTACAGTATCAGATGATGAAACAAAATTGCTGATTCATTTCCTCTACATCCTAAGGCTCACGCTTTACCATGGAAAATTTGACGATTAGTTCCATCTACCTACCACCACCATGTATATTTACCAGTACCGAAAAATCCTTTCTTGCCCTTTCCTTTATCGGCCTTTGCAGCGGGTAAATTCTTTTCCTTCATCTTGGTTGGGTGGTTTGCTTTTGAAACCGTTTTTAATGGAACATCATCATTATACTTTTTATTTTTTTTGGAAGGCTTTGGAGTTACCATTTTATAAGAGGACACCTGTTTATGAACTCCTATTTTTGGTTGAAGTTTTGCGATTTTACTTTCACGGCTTGGTTGGCTTGGACAACACTGGTACGGCTCATAGTTGGGATTGGTCGGCTTGCCTCCTTTACCCTCCATTCCAATGTAGAAGCACCCATCTCCTGCATCAGGAAACATAATGTCAGATTTCACTCTAAACAAGATCTATTGTCAATAATAGAAAACAAAAAATTATTATAAGAGCGTTTAGCTGTTAGTAAGTGGTACATGTGAAGGGGAGCGAGTCTGACACTATGTCCTGCATGCAGCGATGAAGGGACGACATGCGCAGACAAACACTCAAGAAGCAACTACACCAGTCCAGGACTGCCGGAATTTGGTCTGCTAAATTTGCCACCTTTAATCGTTCGTTTACAGTCCCCCTTTACCTGAAACGAATCCCTTAACCAACTCCTCATATTTAAATTTTTTAACTCCACCAAGAACGAAATTTTCTTTTTTTTTATTGCTGACGCCATTATTATCAACATTATCTTCATCATCATCATCATTATCATCGTAATCATCATCATCATTATTATTACCATCACCATCATCATTATCATTATCACCTAGGACATTTTATCAACATGCAGCAATCATGCGACACACTCACCCGTACCAGCATAGCCAATTTATTAAATTTTAATAAAAAAAATTAGAATACACAAAGTGAATATAACAAGAACGATTACTTTTTACAAAAAAAAAAGTAATATAAATTATTCTTACTTTTCTGTTCAACTAGCCATTCCAGAACTTTGTCTTCGTTATTAAGATTTCCTATAACAGTCAATTTATTAAAAAAGGACACTAATTTATGTACAAAATCCTGCTGAACAATTAATTCAATGTTGCCTTGTTTTAGCATTAAGTTTTATTTTAGCTTACCATCATACATGATTGGTACTCCAGTTTCATAATAAACTAATGCTGGAAAGCTGAAAATTCCAATTTCAGAAGCCAATTTTGCATCTTTTGATTTTACAAATTGAATTTCATGTTTGTCAGTGTCATCATCAATGGTTTCTAGTTCTTCCAAAATATCATCGCATTTTTCACAATCATCCGAATAAAAAAGGACAGCGAGATGTTCTACATCATTTATTAAAACCTAAAAAATCTTAAAATATTTAACTAAAAAATACTTTAACTTATGTTACCTGAAGAGTTTTTCTATCCACACTTTCAATAATATCAGGAGATGAATCTCTTAAATCAAGAATCCAGTCCAAGATAGCTTCCTCGTGCATTAAATCACCATTGTATATTTCTCTAAATCTATTTCTGTAAAAAGCAACTGCTGGAAGGGATGGTAAATCGTATTCCCTCTGAATGCCTTTATCAGATATTTTAATAAAATCAATATTCTTATCTTCACACTCATCATCGATATTTTCCAATTCCATCAGTATCTTTTGAGATCTTTTATCTGCTTCTTTATCTAAATATATAAATACATAAGTATATAAAACTTAATAATTAATGGTACTTACAAAAATATACCACAACGTGTTCGTTTTCTGTAAGAATTTTATCCAGCATTTTTGTATTAACCTCTTCAATACGGTCTGGAATTTCCAAAGTGTTTTCATCAGTAAGCCAAGCTAGGACTTCATCTTCATCTTCAATATCTCCAATAAAGATTAATGGTTCTTTGTTTCTGAAAAATACCAATCTGGGAAAATTCTTTATATTGTATTTCTTGGCCAACACTAAATCTTCAGTTGTAACAAAGATTATACCATTTTCGTCCAACTCATCATCTATATTTTCTAATTCATCAAGAATATTATCACATTTTTCCCCTTGTTCACAATTACCACTGAAATAAACTACAATATATTCGTGTTTTTGAATAAGATCTTCAAGAATTTCATCTGTAACTTCCTCAATAGTTGAGGACTGTTTTTGTTCTATTAACCACTGTAATACTTCGTCTTCGTTCATTAAATCTCCTTCATAAAGAGATGGGATTTTATCTTCAAAGTATACAAGGGTTGGAAGATGATCGATGCCGTATTCTTTTGCTTCGGCATCATTGTCAATTCTTACTATAACAATGCCTTCCTTTTCTAAATCATCGTCAATATTTTCTAGTTCGTTTAATACTCTGATATCTTGCTTATCATCCTTATCATCTAAAAATATAAATTTAGGTTTAAATAGGACTTTTAAAAACTACTCACAAAAAAGCACAGCTAAGTACTTAGTGTTATCAATAAGCTTATCCATCATCTCATCAGTGACGTCTGGGATTTCACTGTGTCTTTTCTGATGTAGCAACCAACCAAGAAGTTCTTCTTCTTTAGTTAGGTCGCCTTCATATAAATGTGGAATTTTCTTTTCAAAAAGTACCAAGCTTGGTACAGTATCAATTCCATACTCTTTAGCCTCGTCGTCATTATCAATTTTTACGAACACAATATTATTTTGATCGCATTCATCATCAATGTTTTCTAGTTCAGCTAAGACTTTTTGACTCTTTTTTTGATCTTTATCATCTAAAATATTTTTGTGTTTATTATTTGATTTATTAAAATATAAGTATTTACTTACAAAATAACACTGCAACAAACTGTTTTTTTTCTATTATAATGTCCAGCATTTCATCAGTAACATCTTCAATTTCATCGCATTTAACCTGGTGTTCAAACCATTTTAGAACCTTTTCCTCATCTTCAAGGTTTCCTTCATATAATGTGGGAATACTTTCCTCAAAATAAACCAAGGATGGAATATTTTCTATACCGTATTCTTTAGCTTCGCCACAATTATCAATTTTAACAAAAACTATTCCGAGCTTATCGCATTCATCGTCAATGTTTTCTAATTTATTAAGAACTTTTTGAGATTTTTTGTCATCGTCATCTATAATAAAAAAAACATAAAAATCATACCCTTAATACACTTAAAAGTACTTACAAAACAAAACCGCTAAAAACTTTGTTTCAGCGATAAGCTTGTCGAGCATCTCATCCGTTACGTCCTCTATTTCGTCTTTTTCCAATTGCTGCACAAGCCATTCGAGTACTTCGTCTTCTTCTTCTAAATCTCCGTAATAAACATTTGGAATGCCTTTTTCAAAGTATACTACAGCTGGGAGAGAATCAAGACCATATTCATCGGCGGCAGAAGCATCGTCAATTTTTACAAATTGAATTCCGTATTTGTCGCAGTCATCATCGATATCCTCAAGGTCATCAAGGGTTTGTTTTGATTCTTCTTCTTTATGATCATCTTTAACAAACAAAAAATAAAAGCAAACAAATTTAGACAAGAAAGTTTGAAAGATCGATGGGGCAAGTTTGAATAATAGTATATTATTATACTAGAGAAAATGCAGGCTATTATTTACGAGGGTAAGGTTTACGTCTCGAGTCGCCAGCCGAGAGACCTAAATCATCTAAATGAATATTGCGCATATTCTCGAGTGTAATACTATACTTTATCTACTCCAATAAGTAGATAATTTAATGATTTTCAAAATTAAATAAATAAAATCTGATATCTGTCCAATTGTTAACTTTACTTTTTACCAATTTTAAATGTTATTATAGTCGCCTTCTTTCAATTTAAAACCCGATTGGTTCAAATAAGTGAATATTGAAATCGGCCAATTACTGATGCACGTAAATAATGAGTTTATTATTCACGTTGTTAGGCAGGAAATTTATAATGTTTAATATTAATATTCACGAAAAAACCCAAAAATATTGTAATGGTATATTATGTATCAAGTTTGATAAACGCCATTTTATACACGAATTTAATTTAGGCACGAGCGAGCTTGCGAGCGAGTGCTTAAGTTAATGAGTGTATAGAAAAGTTTATAAACGAGGTGCATACTATACTTTTTCTACGACAAATACTTATTATTATCTTAAAATGATTTAAATAAAAAATTTGTATAGAGCGCCATCTATAAAACAACAGGGGAAACTGTCAAATGTCACATTTTTACATTTTATAAACACAATTATAAAGGTTATAAATCGAAATGTATCTTGAAAATTGACAGTTTTTCACAGTGAAAGTAAAGGAAATATATTATGAGGACTTTACAGTAGAGTCCGTGCCCGAATTTAAGTTATAGTTTACTGCCGGCGAAATTAAAAGGTCAGTACAATAATCATATAAACTTTTCAAATATTCTTTTACAGGTACCAATAACACCTATTTAGGCATTTAGGCAAATGTTTTGAAAAATAAATGCAATGATGCCGAAGACATCCAGAGGGAAAAAAGACATTTAAAATTTGTGACAAGAATATAAGAAAATAAAGAAACAAACTCTAGAGGATAACATATGTTAGTAAATGCTTGATACTCAAAAATTGCACGTCCAGAAAAATTATGCTAGAAAATGGGTGGGATGTGGAGCCTCGAAACTTTTTGTAGCATGCATATACATAGTTTACCCTTGCATGCCGCCCCCTGAACAAAATCCTGGCTACATCCTTGCTGGAAATGGGGCAAGAATCCCTGATTTTCTTAAAGGTTAAATTAAACCCAATGAAAAAAATTCGGCATGCCTTGTACACTTTGTTTTTTAAATAATTTATATTGAAAAATATATGTACACAAATTTTAAAAACTGATACGAATTTTAAAATTTAATTATTGCAGTTCTAGTCCAGATTTTTTTACCCTGTGTATTTTATTTCAAAAATAAAAATATTGTTTCAGAGCATTTTTTTAATTATTTGTCAAATAAATATTACAAATAATAAAAACAATTTGAACCAAAAATATAAAAACATTGATTTCAAGTATTCTGCTTTTCAATCAGACAAAATAACAGAAAAGATGTTTGATATAATTAACATGGTAATAATTTAATCTTTAAAAAAATGTTATTTTTTAATTTTATCTTTGTTATAGGTATGTTTACCTTCTGAATTTATTTTTTTTATATACCTACCTATATTTACAAGCAAAAATACTGAATATTTTTATCCATATTTTAAATCAGTCGTTAACGATATAAATTATATCAACCGATTTTCATTTAAGATGATTTTATTGGCCAAAAAACAAATCTAGTAAACCATGACTTTTATTAGCGAAATTATTTTCTAAGGTTAAAAGCAAATGTCACAAATGTCAACTGTCTTGATGATATTTTAATTGTTTTATGTCTAATTTAAAATGTCAATGTATAGAAATCGACTTTTTATGGAAAATATAAACTTTGAAAGATAATTTATTTTATAAAACAACAGTTTTTAAAGAAAAATACTGCGTTGCCTTGTCGTGCAAAAACCTAAATCCACTGATATGCTTAATGAGTTGATATAAATAAATCAACGTTTCTGCATACGGCCCTTAGTTTCATGGAAACATGTACGATAAAGGGCGTTTTAAAGGTGGGAGTAGAAAAAAGATGTTTATTAAAGTCTTTTTATATTTTAAAGCACAAAATTTTAATTTAAACTGTCAATTTTATTTTTTTTTCTCGAAAAATATAGTTAAATTGTAGCACAATTAATAATCGATGATAATTACAATTCTGTATTATGGGTTAAAATATAAATTTTAGGATATAACAAACCTAGATAACAAATTGTCAGTTTCACATTTGGAGTATAAATGTTGTGTTTATAATATAAATAGGTTTATATGCATTTTTTTTAGTTGGCATAAATAAAAAAGTGGATTTTTAGTACTATACTCATTCCGAATATTTTCCGAACCAATCATTCTATTTTAATGATCTTTTTTTTTGATTGTGTAACGACTTTTAGAGAATTTAATTATGAGTTTAGTTATTTTATAAATCTTTGTTTCTATTATATACGGGGTGTTATACTGATTCTTGGTTTTTTCACCCTGTGGATAAAAGTAGCAGTAATAGGAAATCATAAAAAGGATTAAACTATACCCAGCAAACCAAATCATGTCACAGTGATATAACATTTACATAAAAATTGTTCCTTACTATGCAACAGCTATGTCACCTATATGTAATGGCAATGCTCCTATGTCCGCCTCAAGACCCCTTCCTGGGTATGTAACTGTGATGTAACAGTGTTTTATCATAGTTATGTAACTGTAATGTTACAGCGAGTTATATGCATGCATATTTTATTCTTAAACTGTTATCTACAGAGTTTTATATTTCATTTCAAGTAATATGCTATGTTCGACAAGAAAAACAACATTACTTTATCTCAATATGTATCTAGCCGTTGTTCTGTAAACATTTAAAAACAATAAATTTTTAAAAAAGCCTATAAGTCTTTTGAGTATTTAATTGGCGCAGTGTCGGTAGGATAGTTACGTCGGGACGCGCTGAAGAAAGCATAGTGCCTTTTTGCGAAGTTTCGTCAGTTAAACTGTTAAACGTGACTAAACAGTCCATCGGGGACAAACAACAGAAAATACTAAAAGACTATAGACAGCTGTGCAGTTCCAACAAGACCAACAAGGGCTGAAGAAAACCGAGGAAGACGCATGCGACCTGTATACAACAAGTAAGAGCATTTTCCTTATCAATTCCTATCCTTTGGTTCTTTAAGGCAGATATATATTCAAAATTTGATCTCTGTATAAGATCACGCAGTTTTAGTTAGGCTAATAAAAATCAAATTAAGTCAAAATTGATTCACTTGAAGAAATAACCAATTATTTAAAAAATTTAAACATAAACCCAGAAATAAATATGACTCAACCTGTTAACTATCAGCTTCTTAGATTAACTATTGATAACATACCTAAATTTGATGGCGATACACACGTTTTAGAAATTTTTATTGATTCGTGTGATTTTCTGATAAACACTTACAAAAATGTAAACGATGCAAACGATCCCATAAACAATTTTCTTGTAAAAGCTATTTTAGGTAAGCTTTCTGGCAGAGCTCAATATTTAATAGGCTCAAGACAAGAACTAAATACGTGGACACAAATTAAGGATACATTAAGATCAACTTTCGGAGACAATCGCAATTTGGATTGTCTTGTTCAAGATTTAATTATTTTGCGACCTTTGCGAAATGAAAGTCCTGTTAATTTTGATTCAAGAATACAAGATGCGCGTAGTTTAATATTTTCAAAATTAAAATCTATTTCAACATATTCCGATGCAGAACGCGTTTTACACGTCAAGAATTATAGCGAACTTTCTTTAAAAACTTATATTAGAGGTTTATCTGGTAGACTACAAGACATAATAAGGCTTCGAAATCCTAAAGACCTCGAAGAAGCCATTTCCTTTATAATTGAAGAAGAAAATTTTGCATACGCTAATAACCAATCCCGTCAAATGTCACAATTACATATGGTTAACAAAAGTATACCTAAACCTTCTCATAACTTTTATTATCAAAATCCTACACCATCTAGACAAAATAATTCATCATTTGAACATTTTCCCACCGGGCCTGTTCAGATAAGACCACACCCAAATCCACCTCAACAAAAATTCCCCACAAATAAACAAGTGTTTGGCTCTCCCCAAGTAAAATCCAATAAAAATATTGTTAAACCAACTGGCAAAATTTCTTTAAATAAAACTACCCCTATGTCAGGTGTAAGCAATTTTTCCAAAGGACCAATTCACACCCAACAACAACAATTTCAATCTACTCCTATGTCAGGTATATCCCGCTTCTCAAATTTTACTGCAAGAACAATTCAAAACTCTACTCAAAACCAAACATATTTTCGATCATCTGGACCTAGAAATTTTAAAGCCGAAGAACTCAATAACTTTGAAAATAATCCCACAGGTGATAACGACCTCTTTGAAAATAATGCTTATTCTTTAAATGACAATGAACCGAGTATACATGTGATACACAACAATACGAGGAAAATGACACCGATGAACTACAATTTTATGATAATGAAAATAATGTAGAAAATGAAAATTTTATTTTAGGTGCCCATACGCCACACAAAACATAACAAACCTCGACAAAATCGAAATCAATAATACGTGCGACGACAATACCTTATCATATATTGCGTTTTGTGATCCTCCTATAAAATTATTAATCGACACCGGAGCGACAAAATCAATTCTAAAACCTGAAATAGCCGAAAAATTATTCCATAATACTATATTTCACGATCCATTTTCAATAAAAACCTGTAATGGTGAAAACCAGTGTAGTTTCAAGTCTCAAATTCCTGTGTCTTCTCTCTTAGGTTTAGAAACAAACCAAACTATCACATTTCATCTTTTTGATTTTCACGAATTTTTTGATGGCTTGATTGGATTTGCAGACATAATT